CGCCGTCGGCAGTCGCACGCGAAGCGCAGTCGATTCGCTTCCTGCGAACCCGTCGTCGAACCATTGCTCCGGCACGGAGCTTCGTCTCCCGGTGTGCGTGAGCGTCGATTTCGTGCCTCGCCTCGCATCGTGGCGCGTCACGTCGCACATTTCCATCTCGCGCCCGATCGTTTCTGGTTCGATGGTGATGTGTTGAAGAACCTGACAGTGTCTAAAAAAGGTTAAGGGACGACGACGTCAGTGCCAGTAGCAGCAGCAACGCACTGACTCGAATTGGCGCGAACAAGCACTGTTACGAGTCTTCATCCAAACAGTGACGTACGAAGGCCGTCGACACACATAATCACATACACACGCGCGCGCGCGCGCGCGTGCACACACACGCACACACACGCACACACACACACACGCACACACACGCACACACACACAAAACAGACATACAGACAACACACAAACAAACACACAGCAGACACACTCACACACATACGCCGATCACGTACACATAGAGTGATTCAAAACGCAGCCCGATTGGTACCGCTTGATCGCGCGCGAACGTATCTTCCCGGTGTCACCGAAGACGATTGTCGATTACCGATCATCGTTAGGAAGTTACGCATACGATCGCGAACTTGATCCGAGTTCGCAGAACGGATCGGTAAGCATGATGGATTCGGTGCCGGTGACGGCGTCGGGGTCGATGACTCCGTCGCAGCAACAGCAACAGCAGGCACAGAAGAAAGGAGTCTCGTTCGAGTTCTCCACTTCGCCAGATCTGGAGACCGGATTCGAGCCGCAGACCCGCGCGCGATCGAATACATGGCCGTTACCCCGACCAGAAGGATACGTGGAGGGTAACGCGCCAACCGCGAAGGAAGGCGCCGAAGGTGGCACGCCGCCCCATCAGGCGCAGCTCGCCCAGGGTCTGCTGCCGGTGAAGAAGAACTCGTCAAGGAGGAACGCCTGGGGGAACCTGAGCTACGCCGACCTCATCACCCAGGCGATCACCAGCGCGCCCGACCAGCGGCTCACCCTCTCGCAGATCTACGAGTGGATGGTCCAGAACGTCTCCTACTTCAAGGACAAGGGTGACAACAATAGCAGCGCCGGTTGGAAGGTAAGTGAAAGTTTTCGCCTTCTCTCTCCCCCCCCCCCCCCCCCCCTCTCTCTCTCTCTCTCTCTCTCTCTCTCTCTCTCGAGTTCGCGACATTCGCGCTTGACGCTTGCCTCCGAGACAGGCCGGGCTCGGGTTTGCCAAGATCTAATTTAAGTCACAACATTGAGATGCTTTTCCCGAAACGTGTCTTAGATCAGGGACGTGAACCGCAACGCGCGCGTGCAACCATTTAATGTTAAATCTCTCAATTTCTCAAGAGACATCAGAGACATTTCGAGACGCACGGGTAGAAGCGCGTACATGTGTCTTAAAGGTATGTCGTTAAAAGTGATATCAGGTGACTGTGATAAAACACCGTGCAGAGTTCCTATTTTCGACATTGATTCCGATTTCGACTTGAATGATCTCATATTTTTAAGCAATTTTTCGTCACTTTTTGCCAAGATGTTTCTTTTTCATAATTGCGCACTGAAATGTTGCACACTGAGAAAAATGTTTTAATTAAACCAACAAAAAGGTTCAACAAGAATGACATTCTCGACTACCAACAAAAAGGCTCAACAAGAATGACATTTTCAAGACTAAATAGAATTTCTGGTCATGATTTAATCCACTAAAATTTCATTCTTGTTGAACCTTTTTGTTGGTTTAATCAAAACATTTTTCTCACACACACACAGTCAGAATACAATATAATAATTCTTCTAAAACCGATGATTCACGTGAAACGCGATAAAATACCGAACGCTATCCACGTTCTTAAAGTGTGGCCGGTCAGAGTTTCATTTAATGCAAGAATCGCGCGATTTTTATCACGGGACGCGAGAATCAAGTAACCGAGTTGGAGGTAACATGCGCAGCGTGAATGCGAGCTGAAGTCACATTCGGAGTCACGTTTACAGCGGTATGAAGACTTCCGTTTCGTATGGAAACAATTGTGACACGCGACAGTGCGAAGGTTAGACGCGAGAATTCATCCGGCTGGAATTTATGCGCACGTAACGTTATTTTTGATGATTCACGTTATGCGATTACATTACGAACGGACGTTTCACACAGACGCCTGAGAAAAAGCTTCTATTTCGTAATTAATGCATTTTTTGACTTGGTATTATAACTCAATAATATAATGATAAAAAAGATTTCCTATGATCTTTTTGTCGATTAATCTTTAGTTCACTTCAACATATGTTGATTATTAAATTTCATATGATAGAGACTGATTTTTAAAAAGTCAATGAAAGTCGTGATTAATTCCTTAGATTTAGTTTAACAATAAACTTTATTTCTAAGCTTAATTCAAATTAATGCAATTAGTAACGAGAGATGGTATGTGATTATACGCCTTGCCCTGATGAAATGAACGGCAAGGTTTACGAAATATTAACAATATGGATCACGGCATGGCGATAACTCGCAGACCCTTTGGCACCTCTGATGATGTACGATTATCTTTGGAGAGATGTATACGTTATCTTTGGAACGATAAAATTTTTTAATTCTCTGATTGTTCTCTGATTGAAAATATTATTTATATTCTTTTACTATACACTTTTTTTTTTAATTAATGGAAACAGTTGATATTTTAAGAAGTTAAGAAAAGCATTACGTTCTTTACTGTTGATAACAACAAGTGCTATCAGAACGATAAAAAGCGATAATGTATCGAGCACTTCTTTCTTTTGTAGTCGAACCTATTTACATAGATCATATGTGCGCATCATAAGCTTCAAAATTATGGCATTGCATTTTTATTACAATCTCTCACGGAAAATAAAGGCTATAATTATATCACCGCAAAATAATGAAACGGAAAGACATAACTGATTGTCACGACTGAAACAGAATTTTAAACCAAGTGATAGTCCGATAAGTTATTAATTATTAATTAATAATAAAATAGCTTGTATAAAACGACAGTTGATCTTTTAATGATATTAAACGAATGTAACGCATATACAAGTCGAACAAAATGTTAGAACTGTAAAGCGAATGTTTATGTCGAACTATTTAGCCCGGCACGCGCATAATTAAAATGTTAATAATGCATTATAGTGTTTATAATTATAAAGCTCGAGCTTCTGGTTCAGCAAAGCTCTGCGTTACACATTACATACAACGAGATGTATCGTTTTACGTATTTCGTTACGGTGTGTCGCTAATTGGTTGTCAAATTTGAAGTAATTTAATCTTGGAAGCTTGAAGTTGCGTGTAATATGTAACAGTTAATATTCTTCTTCGTAAAGTGCCGTGTGAATCTGCTTTGTTCAGTGACACTTCAAACCGTAAAAAGAGAAAAAAGAAATTTGTTTAAAATGGAAAAATATTTGTTCGACGTTCCGAGTTTAATTTTTTTGATACATATTTTAATTCTTAAATATCCTTTATTATTCTAGGGCTATCTGACATAGATGACTAACTCAATTTTTTAAATCTTAACATTTAATAATCAGTACACGGTTGAACTTATATCTTTTTAATATAAACAAAATTGCAAAAATTTTATGTAAATTTATACAAGTGCACTGTTCTTTATGTACACAAAGCTACATTTGTCAGCTAATATATAGTATTTTCTTTTTAACAAAGTTTAAATAAATAGTAAAATTTCTGAATCTATCGCATTTATAAGTCGGTTACCCATTAACATAATTGAAACGATGTGTATAAAGCATTAATGATTTATATATCATTAAATATTTTCTACCTGATTATAAATTATCTATGCTTTAAATGTATTTCGTTACAATTTCGATGTAAAGTGCGAAAGAATTCATTATAAAGGGAGAAAAATATGTATTTTTCATTCTAAACTCGCTGCGTTTGGCACTTATACTGTTTCTAATCCTAGTTTATTACTTATATTCGGAAAGAAAACTCTTCTACGGCACTTGTATGGAAGAAAAAAAAAACGATATTACCGCAAAAAGTTTATATTCATGATTGCAACAGTTGAAGATAGTAAAGTTATTCTGACGTAGTTGAGTTATGGAGGAAGCTATTGTAATTCTTAGATATCTAGAGTTAACAGTCTAGGTATAAAGGTCTTTCATAACTCTTCAGCGTCTAATGTGTCTGATGACAAATGTGCTTTCTATGTTTCTCTCGTCTCCGTTATTTGAATGAAATATTAGAAATTGTCAGTTAGGCACCTACGACACTTAGCTACTCAATTATCGTGTGTCGAGTCGACGCGTCAAACGCGCGGCAAGAATCCGCGTTAAAAATCCAATGGGAGGCTGGGATCGCATCTGCGAACTTGTGGATGCAAGTCGTGCAGAGTGGCTGATGACGACGACGACGACGACGACGACAACGACGACAACGACGACAACGACGACGACGACGACGACGACGACAACGAAAAAACAGCGGCATGTAATCACGTGGCACAGTCAGGTTGAGGGGGGGGGGAGAGAGAGAGAGAGAGAGAGAGGGAGAGAGAGAGCTCTGTATCTTCTCCTGTGCGGCGCGCGGGAATGCATATCGACGCAAAATGCAACGCGGAGAGTTTAAGGTCCGTTTACACCGTTCGTCGCTGCCGCGGCCATCATCATCGACGTCACATCGGGTCGAAGTACACGCATAAATCGATGCCATCGGACGGACAATCGTCGTCGCTCATTTCGCTCTCTCAAACGTCTTACGGCGCGGCATTATTTATGCGCGGGTTGCGCTGCACGCGAAAGCGCCTGACAAAAGTTCAGGGATACGTTCTGAGAATTCGCCGAGGAAAGAGAGATTCCTGCGTGCGCGTTTAACGGCTCGTTTCATTCAACGACTCTTCTCGACGTCCCATCGGTCATCGGCGAATCGTGACGTCGGAAGCGAAGAAATCTCAAAGGCTCGCACGTAAAGCTCGCTATTGTAGTTGAGAGAGTACAGTTTTTTTTAATATATACAGTTCTCGAAACAATGTTAATTTTATTTATTATAGGCGAGAGGCTCATTACAATCGATATTAATGATATAATTATGAATGAGCAGGACCTAAAACATTCTTATATCGAGGTTTTTTTGTGATGTAGACGCGGTTGTACTCTCAATTGCATAGAGCGAGGAGTTTGAGAATTTATAGTAACATGGTTGCAATTCGAGTAACGCATTGCGAGCACAATAATTGGTGCTCCCTCCAGCGTGCAATCGCGCCTTGCTCATCGAGGAATTTCATTAGGCCAGTACGATAAACGTAGGACGATGCGTTTCGTTGGCGCGTTATGAATTATCCTTTACGCGTGAATCGGCCAGACTATGTAGATGGAAGGGAGACTGAGGCTTGCCAAGTCTGAGACATCCTATATGGCGGACACGACTCGCAATTTTAGCAGTCCACAGAGCTCGCGAGATTCGACAAATCGACATAATCACACGGCATTAAAGTCTGATTCACTTTACAAATTATCACTAGATTTACCGAGCGGGGCGTCGAAGCAACGAATCTCGCGTTGCGAAGAATTTCATCGCGCAATTTCTCCGTCTATAATAGCAGTCTGTAACGAACAACGCCCGCGCCGTATGCTATAATGATCGCGTAGGTATTCGCGTTCCCGCAAACAGACGCGAAAGACCCTTAAGCCGTCGCGTCGCGTCGCGTCGCGTCGCGTCGCGTCGAATATTTCTTCTCCCTTGTGTGGCGTTAGCGCAAGTTTGAAATTCTAACGCAGCGCGCTATAGAGACGAGAGGTGTTGAGGATCCGTGAAACACACACCGGTTACTCATCTGTCTGGTTTTAAGACCAGCGCCGTAGTTAGCGCCCGCCATTACAAAGCTCTCCCTACCCGTGATATCTTCTTCGGCGTTGCTCCGCTCGGTATCCATCCATGGCGATTAGAGACGGCCCGCGCCTCTTTAATGACCGACAGAGAGAACTCGGCTAAATGCCCAGCCATCTCTTCGTGGTATCTTCCGCGCTGTTACGGCACGGTAGATACTGGAACACTACCGGTCAGTGAAATCGGAACGCGCCGCGGTGAATACTGGATCCTTCTGTGAGATCGTT